GGTACCATCATTTTCCTGTATCCCTGGTCCAGGGGCAACATCAGTAATAAGGAGTGGATGGATCTGGAAAGGTTGTACCAGTCATACTTTATTGAACATCAAGGATTTTACCTTTCTCAATTAATGTTTAAAGGTGAGTTTAATTTCCTTGCTGGGGAGAATAAAGGGATGAGGGGTGGGCGTCTCAGTGACTTTTCATTCCTCAGGGAAACAGCCTACTCACCTCTGAAACTTACTCTACTCTCTTCAGCATAAAACTGCAATCACACCCTGGGCACGTGTGATAAATAGAGCCATATTCTTCAAAAACTTCAGGATTTTTTTTGCCACTGTGACCTGGTCTCTGATTGCCTGCAGGGCTGTGTTTCATTATCTCCCCTCAGAGGCATCCTGTGGCCACCCTTTTCCCCAGTCTTCCATCAAGTATCTTCAGCTTCCTCAGTCTTTGGCTGACTCCTTTAGGTGTGATTTTCTCTCCCATTTAATCTCCTCTGTCATCCTTGTGTAAACTGTCCTAGTGACCATGGATACATTCACCCTGGTTAATTAGAGTCTCAGCTCTCTCACATTGAGTCCTTCACCCCCACACCATCCCTATCACCTTTGAACAATCCCCTCCCTTCCTCATATTATCATCTCTTCCTCCACCTCCAGCCCCCACCAGTTCCCCTTTCTGTGAATCTCTGGTCAAATCACACTTGGGCCTTTTCTCTTAAACTCCAAGCACTCCCTTTTGCTTTTATTGTCTTTTGTACTCATCTCATCCCATTTTCTCCTTTTTTTTTTCTTTTCTCCTCTAATTCATTACTCTTCTTCCCTAGATCCCTTTGATATACAGATGGCTGCAGGCTGTGAACGGTACTCTGGGAAGGGCTTCTTAGGCTTGAAGCATGTAGCTATCCAAGGACATGACTTCGTGAGCTTCCAGAATCAAACATGGTCACCATCTCCCAAGGGTGGAATAAAGGCCCAGAAAGCCTGCAATATACTCAATCTGAACCAAGTCCTTACACATATGGCACATAGGCTCCTCAGTGACACCTGCCCCCGTTTCACCTTGGGTCTTCTTGATGCAGGGAAGGCTCATCTCCAACGACAAGGTCAGTCTTGTAGCCCATCTCTAAGAATTTTTCTATTATAAAGTCAAATTCAGGATAAAAAGGATACCAAGTGACATTTACAAAAGGGGGAAAAATATACCTATGTGGTCTCATGTGGAGTTCTGAACCTCTCAGTGTATGTTACAGTCTGTGTCTGAATGTCTTTTCTGTCCTTTGCAGTGAAGCCCGAGGCCTGGCTGTCCAGTGGCTCCAGTCCTGGGCCTGGCCATCTGCTGCTGGTGTGCCATGTGTCTGGATTCTACCCAAAGCCCGTGTGGGTGATGTGGATGCAAGGGGACCAGGAGCAGCAGGGCACTCAGAGAGGTGACATCCTGCCCAATGGTGATGGGACGTGGCATCTCCGAGCAACCCTGGATGTGGCAGCTGGGGAGGCGGCTGGCCTGGCCTGCAGGGTGAAGCACAGCAGCCTAGGAGGGCAGGACCTCGTCCTCTACTGGGGTGAGAAAGGCCTGGAGCCCAACTGGAAATGGGTGGCTTTCTTCTAGCAGTTCATGAAGGCCAGGTAAAAAATTGGAATTTACAAATTCCCAATCAAAAAAGAAAAAAAATGTATGTAATTCAAAAAGTGAAAGAATTTTAAATAAATGATATGTAATTAAATTTGAAACAATATCCTGGTGTCCACTTGAATCTGCAGCACCTCATAGATCCCTGGGCTTGGTCCTCTTGGCAGTGATAGTGGCCCTGGCTCTTCTGACAGGTCTTGGATTTTGGTTTAGGAAACGCTGGTGAGTTCTTTGTATCTCTTCTCCCCAATGGTCTTCCCTTCTTTTTTTGACTTTTTCTTCTTCTCTCAGCCTCTGTTCTATTTTCTCCTCCATTCTCACCTCCACCTTATGAAGGTCTGTTATATTTTTGTTCACTTAGGACATACTTTGAAGCTCCCTGAAGTTCTGGCCCTCTGAAGTGAAGACCCAGTCTGCACCTGAACACCACAGGGTGATGACATCACTTCTACTCATCTTTTTAAAACTTTCCATTCATTTCTTCTCCTTGATCATTTACCAATATATGCTCAATGTAATCTTGCAGGATTTGTGGTTCTGACCCGGCTTCTGTGAATGGAACAGGATGTTAGCAGTGTCAGCCTGGATGAATAAAATGGATCATCAGATGCATTTGAGCTGTCACATCCTCCAGGGGTCCTTCCTTGATCCACAGTGGGAAGCCATCTCCCCTCCATCTGAGCTTCCCCAGATTTCAACTGTGCCCCTCACTGCCTAGCATCTGTGGCAGGTGTGTAGGTTCATTTCTTCTTTTAAGTTTTTAAAGTTTAAAGCAAAGCACATGCTTTTTGAGTATCTGAATCCCTGGTGAAATGTCTGGCCTCAATATAACATGTTTTCAATAAAACCTGTATTGAATTATGTAAGGCTTGTAGGTTTTGTTGTTGTTATTGTTTGTTTATTTTGTTTTTTTTTTTTAAATTCTCTGCCTTCCTGACACATGTGTTATAGCTGAGACATTTGATGCTCTTCTTGTTAAGTCTTGCTTTGGAAGGAGACTTCATTCCTAGTTCTATATTTTTTTTCTGAGTCTCTGAGGAGAAACATAGTTTTGCCTCTTACCAATTCTGTTATTCAATTTTAGGGAAATATTAGCATAAGACTATTGTTCCAAGTGCTCTAAATGAAAAGAGCAGGGGAGGATGAAGGTCCTCCATATTCAGCGAACTTTATGATCAGCAGCAGATTCATTACATGGGAGTTTGGTAGAAATGTAGGCTCTGTGGCCTTGTCTCATACTTACTAAATTAAAGTTTTCATCTCAACAAAATCATCAGATGATTCATAGATGCATTAAAAGTTGAGAGGGTCAGCATAGTGGTGATACCTGAATTATGGCCCAAGGGCATCACTTAGGAGGGAATCAAAATGAGGAATCAAAGTGCTACTCTTGAGGACTTAAGTAGGTCCAGGTGGGTGATGCACATTCTCAGGAGCTATGCTCTCTATACTTGCTGCTGCAAACAGTGAACACTGAGCCATGCTCCTAGGGTAAACAGAGGGTAGTTTCTGTTGAGTTTCTGTAAACAAAAAATTTGTTAATTGATGAATACATAACCTTGTTTGTATATTTTTGTTTAAAAATCTTATTTAATATATTTACAAGTAATTCATTGTATCAAGTATATCTTTAAACAAAAACATTATTTGAGAAGTGTTTAATAATTTCCTGACCCTAATTAATGTGATTTCAAATTTCCTAGGCTTTCAATCTTTCTACAATGTTGTCTACCATATGTAAAAAAAAATGCTTAGTGGGGATAGGAAGGGCAGCAGAATAGAATAGACATTATGATTGATGTATGTATATAGGTGACTCTATGACCAGTGTGATTCTTCAATCTGTACAATTAGAAAAATGAGAAATTATACCCCAATGATTTAAATGTATGAAATGCCAAGTTTGTTGTAATGTTATGTGTAGCTAATAAAAACATAAAATTTAAGAAAATGCTGCATCTCAAGAAACCACAAATTTAATTATCATAGCTTTATCATAGCATTATAGATGTTACTTTACAAAGTAACTTCACCTACCAATCATCAAATTTTATCTTTCTTTTTCCTGTGCATTGTGTTTTTCATTAACAATATTAATGTTATATATGCTGATCTAAAGCTGACCTTCTTACTCTGTTATACACATCACAGCGTTTTTCAGTTAACGAACATTGGATAGCACTCTAGAGATATGTTTTGGGCCATTTTAATTGACAATATCAGTGACAAAGGGCACAAAGTGTGAAAAACATGGCATTCCCTAGGCCACACAAAGGATGCTTGTCCTGCAGTGAGAAGGGAAACCTGAAGACAGAGCTTCACTTTTTTTGACTTTCATAGGGAATGTGTTCTTCATTTGACTCCCGTTTTGTACCACTCTGTACATATCTATGAATGACTGCAAAATCACTGTGAGTATTTAGTTTGGGGTTATAAAAGTTTCCACAGGTAGACAAAGTTAGAAATTTAGAAATCCTGAACTAATGAGGATTGTCTTATGACTACAACTGACAGTGAGAGTTAAGATATCCATGACCAGACTTTAGTTACTTTAAAATCCATAAACTGATGTAATAAACAGTTCTTAGGCAACTACTATGCACTTACCATGCAGCAGGTGCATATTGAGAATAATGTAATGGACAAAAAAAAGTTCATCACTCTGTACTGAGCTTGAAAATTTTGCCTACCCAATTTGATTCTGCACTTTATTATTTTCATTGTTTCTTTGTTCTTAATTTCCTGGAAGGACTTGCTTGAGATAAATTTGGGGGAAAGGGACTTAGTCTCATTTTGCTTAGGCTGCTGAGAAGAGGGAACCCAGGAATAGGGGAACATCTAGAGATACCATGTACATGTAAAAAATTTTCCCATGGATTTCCTCCTGAAAAATTCATCCCTGCATTCACTTGTCCATCGTTCATTCATCACACGTATAGTTTTCACTATTTGCCGGCAGACATATTTACTGAGAATTCTTCCAAAATGAAATTAGGCTTGTTTAGATTACAAATGCAGTGTGCAGACCTTATTTAAAGCTGACCATAAATGGGAGAAATTCTGGAGGAAGTAGCCCAGATGCAGATGAAATCATCCATTTACAACAAAGTAATTTCATCTACAAAGATCCCTACACCAATGTATTTTACTTAAAAGTACTAAATTGGGTTTGCCTGTTCATCCCCGAACTCCTGTTTTGATGACTGACATCATATAATTACAATACAAGAGAAAAATTAATAACAATGAGAAATATACAAGAATATACCATGCAGAATATTTAAGCATGTTTTCAGGGTTAAAGCCCTTCAATTCTTTCAGGATTTGATCAGCTAAAGAAGTAGGATCTGAAACATCAGTCTTACTCTTTTGTATATCTTGAATATAATGATGGAGCTTCAAAAGATCAAGCTGCTATTACTATTTTGCCAAATACCCAACAAATGGTTTTTAATCTTCTCCCAATCCCATTGTGAAGCATTGTATTTGGCAGCAGTAACACACACATACTTATAACTAGTGTGACATTTAAGTCTTTCCTTGAACTTCAAAGCCAAAAGTTCATTACTAATATTTACGACAGTAGCCTCTAAAGTATTTAGCTTAGTCTCAATCCTTTCATCAATATTAATTTTATTATGAAGAGCCTTGAAAGTATTTTGAGCCAAATTATTAAGAAAATTTGCATGTTGAATATTTTGAGATATGACCACCAAAGCTGTGACCATTGAAGCAATAAAAGAAACCAAGGCAACAACTCCTACTATTATGAGTTCAAGAGAACATTTAGATCTTACTAGCTGGGCATGTATTTATTGTAAGACTTGAAAACCAGCATCAGCGTACCACAGCTCTGAAATATTAGCTGGTAATAAGTCAAAAGGGGGCTGATGAAACATCAGAATTCCTTTCCCTCTATTATATCTGGTGATACAGTTAATTCAATTACACTTACTACTTGTTATAAGATATTTATTATTTTTCCTTTTAACTTTTACATTTCCAGTAATTAAAATGTAAGGAGATTGAACAAAAGCTCATAAGCCATAGCAAGAACCTTCCTTACAGTTCTTGCCTACAAAGTCTGGTAAAGATTTGTCAGTAAAATGTAACAATTCTGAGGCAGCAATTCAGCACCAAACATCTTCCTGAATGCCCGCTTCACTGAAGGTCAAGATGTTGTTAACAAATCCTCCAGGAGTCATGGCAGTACTCTAGTGTAACTGTATTTTGTCAATTATAGGAGACCAGTCCAAAATATACCCAATTATGCACCTTTTGTTGTATTGGAAAACATTTATACAATCCATCCACTTAGGAAAGGTGCCAATTTCTATCGCAGAATGGTTAGTACAATGAGGTATTTATGGACATTCTGCTGAGATGACTGGTTTGTTATGAGACAGTCCCATTTTAATAACTGATCTGATATAAGGTTTTGAGTCTTCAATAACAGTACAATTAGTTGATCTATGTCTCCCAATTGCTGTCTTTTCCTCAAGTGACACTCTTAGACAGCCAGAATGTTTATCATGGGACCAACACAAAGGTAATTGGGCACTATAGCCAGAATAATTAAATCCAGTCCCATAGTTGGGAGTAATACGAGTGTCTGTAAATCCTCCCATCATGAACGAGTCATTAGTAAATACTGGGATGGATTCTCCAGTCCACACTGCTGGGTGTACTAGAGGTGGATCTGGAAAATATATCCAATAAGTTTCTCCCTGATTCCCTTTTACCTGACAGCTCAATAGAGCTATTATTGCATCAAGCATCATCATTGGAGATTTAAATTTTCTTTGCTATCAAATCATTTGTGCAGCCTGCAGCATCAATTTCTTCAGGTCCTTCCATGGGATTGGCTTCCTCATTCATTTTCTTGGGGTTTTCTTCTTCTCTTCTTTTGGGATTTCTTCCTTTTGAGGAAAGGCTTCTCTGGGTTAACCTTCAGTCATTTGAAACTTTGTTCTATTTCCTCTATGTCTGATTGCATGTTCAGGCACCCAAATAGGATGAAAAGCACCTTCTGGGAAAATACAAGCATGACCTCTGCCCCACATAATCACTGGATCTGGTCCTTTCCATTGACCAGTCTGTAACTCCTTCCAACAACCTCGGCCTAAAGGGCCTGTTGCTGTGGAAGACATGTGTCACTCAGCTGCAGAGTGACCTTCTGAGTAACAATTTTAAAAAGTTAAACAGAGCATGATTAAGGTTATTTGGGGGGAGTCATATTCCTATCTGTCCCTTTTAGTTTTTGTAATTGTAGCTTAATAGATAAATGAGCTCGTTCCACAATTGCTTGACCTTGGGGTTTATAAGAAATTCCTGTTTTATGGTCAATTCAAAACTCTTGGCAAAATTGTTGAAAAAGAAGAGT